TAACCTATTTGTCAATAACCTAGTCAAAAGTAAGGCAACCAGGTCTTGGAATTCAAAAGAAAACTACAGTTAGTCCCAATTTAAAGTCCAAGTTTTTGTTACCGGGATTTACCATCATTACGCCATCGGTTACACATATATATATATACAAAAAATTATCGGCTATTATTTTAGGAGCGACTAAAAATATACTAATATTACTTTTATTTTTATTGGGTAATTATTTATTAGACTGAAAATAAAAAAAATAAAAAAAATATAAAATAAGAAAATACTACTGAAAAAATTATTTCCGACCACTATGATTTTTGTGTGAGTTAGTGAAAGTTTTATGATTTTTGTGTGAGAAAATAAAGTTATATGACTTTGGTGAAAAAAAAGTCATAGTTATATAATTTTTGTATGAGAAAACAAAGTTATATGACTTTGGTGAAAAAAAGTCATAGTTATATGACCATTTGTGAAATTTACCCAATTATTTCCTGTACAAAAAGAATATTTTTCTTTCCTCTCAAGCTAATTTACCGATTTAATGAAAAATATTCAATAAAAGAATTAAAGCCCGTTTGGATTAGCTGATAAGTATTAGGTGCTGAAAAGCATTTTTTAAGTGCTGAAATTGATTTAATAAATAAACAGTTACGTGTTTAGGTACAAGTGCTTAAATTGATAATAAACTACTGCAGTATTTAATAAAAAGTGCTTATAAGCTCTTTTTCTGTTAAAATGACTTGAATAACCTTAGAACTGTTTACACTTATAAGGGCGTAATTTCTTCAAAATTTTAGATTCCTGATCGATTCAAATATAAAATATTTTATTTATCATTTTATTTTAAATACAAATATAATTAAATAAGATAATTTTTATAATAAATATAATTTATTTTATGATAAGCATATAATTATAAGTTATAATAATTAATAAATTGACAAAAGTTTCTCAGTAAAAAAAATAAATCTAAATAGGATAATATATTTGAAGAGAAACATTGTCTTCATCAACCACAACACTTTTAAGCCAATACACTAAAAATTTGATGTCTTCGTTTATTACATATAGTTCAAAGATTAATACAAAATCACATAGATACAAATACGCAAAGGAATAGAGAATTTGCTTACCTCAAATAGTCAATGAGAATTGCAGACTTGAAAAGACGTGGGGTTTAGGTTGAAAAAATACGTGAGGCAATGAGTATTGATGTAGGAGTTTTGTTTTGAAAAGGAATATTTTAGAGATAAAATAGTAAAAATCTTGGTCAAACTTAAAGTGCTTATAAGCTAAAAATTCATAAGCTGGAGGTGACCAGCTTATGGCTTTTGGCTTATAAACACTTGGCTTAAAAGCACTTTTAACTTTACCAAACACATAAATAAACCGAAAAGTGCTTATAAGTTAGTTTGACCCGCTTATAAACTTAGTCAAACACCCTCTTAGAATGCATATCAAATATTACTACTATTATAGAAGCCACTAACGAGAGTAGCTTAGGGTCAACGTGTCTGCATAAGTTGTATGCGTAAAAGCTGGCGTTCTTTATTTCCTAAATTGTTGTCACGTGTATCTTGGCTTTTTTAAATTGGGCCCGGGAGGACTTTTTGTAAATATATTAGAATGGAGCAAGTCTTATTGGTTGAAAAGGAACTTTAATGTAGCACCAGTGTAAAATTTTGATTGTATTGACCTATTTGCCCATGTGCTTATGTCATCGGATTACTTTGTTTTTTCGGAAAAAGGGTCAAAATTATCCTCGGACTATCGAAAATAGCTCAAATATATCCTCCGTTTATTTTTGGTACCAAATTTGTCCTCGCCGTCTAAAAATTGAACCATTATTACCTTAAAAACTAACGGCTGCCACATCAGTTTTTGGACACATTTAAATATTATGGAAAAGGGTCAAAATTGCCCTCGAACTATCTAAAATAGCTCAATTATATCCTTCGTTTGTGTTTGGTACCAAATATGTCCTTGACGTCTAAATATTGGACCATTATTGCCCTAAAAACTAATGGCCGTCACATGAGCTCATGTGAACAACAAAAGTCTATCTCCAACAGACGGTCCTCCATCTTGACAAAAGCCCCCACGGATAAAATTTCCTTCTCCGTTTTCATTCGTTTACTCATCTAAGTATTGTTCCTTCCAAATAATTAAAGCTACACCAATTTTATTATAAGAAATTTAGTTGGGCTATTCTTAAGATTCACAAATCTGTAAAAAAAATTCCAATATACTATACAAGAAATAAAATACCAACTTTTATCACTTAAAATCAGAAATCTTATCACAAAAATGGTGAGAACAACAAAAACTGCATATTGCAGTATTCCCATGGCTAGCTATCCAAGCTCATAGCTCAAAAAGGTCACAAATTAGTTGCAGAGATATATCCTTTTAAAAACAACTCTCATAAAAAATTCGAAAACTATTAGAATGAGACCATTATCTAAAATACTATACCCTCCCACTTCCAGCCTTTATCAACATAAAAGAAAAGAAAACCGACCGCAAATAAGACCTAGACCCAAAACTATCTAAACGACCCACTACGTGGGTGAATAGGTCCACAAATATCCCCTTGTATACGTTTCAAAAACGCAGGGGACTGAATCCGAACCTTTGTTGGTGATGGTCTAATAATCAACTTGCCTTGATAACAAGAAGTGCAAGAAAACTCATTATTTAAAAGAATCTTTAAATTTTTTAATGGATGCCTATTTGAGTTATCTATAATTCGTCTCATCATAATTGATCCAGGATGTCCCAATCGATCATGCCAAAGTACAAAAGTATTGGAATTAGAAACCTTTTGGTTTACGATGAAATGTGCCTTAATTGCACTAATTCTTATCCAATACATGCCACAAGATAAAGATGAAAACTTCTCAATATCCCTTTTCTGGCCAGAGACATTCTTGGTAACGATGAGATATTCGAGATTATTCTCATCTATTGTCTCAATATGAAATTCATTTCGACGGATATCTTTAAAACTCAATAAGTTCCTCTTGGACTTGGAGGAGAACATTGCATTCTCTATGATAAGTATTATTCCCTTAGGCATAGTTATATTAGCTCTTCCAGATCCTTCAATTTGATTATTACTACCAGAAATTGTAGTAACATCTGCCTTACACATACTTAAATGAGAGAAATATTTCTTCTCTTTAAATATTGTATGTGTTGTACATGAATCAATTAAGCAAATATTTTTACAATTAAACTTTGATCCAAGTTTGCTTTGAAAGATATCCATATTTGCTTCCCATGGTTTGACATACAAAAGAAGTATATGAATAAATATTAGTATTTTTAGAGAAAAAGGAAAAGAAATAAAGTTAAACCAATAATTCAATAGTGACATTTTAATGCATTTGCCGACAAATTCTAATTATTATACAAATAATTACGCAACAAAAATAATACAATTTTAACACTAGAAAAATTTCTTCCTTGGCCACGAACAGGGCCACGACCTTTTCCACGCTTAGAATAATGGGAATATATCTTATTCACTTCAGGCAATGGTGTAGACCCAGTGGGTCGATTTTCGTGATTTCTCATGAGGAAATCATTATTTCGTTCAGCCACAAGGAGAAGAGAAATCAACTCAGAATACTTCTTGAAACCTTTCTCTCGGTACTGCTGTTGCAAGACCATATTGGAGGCATGAAATGTTGTGAACATTTTTTCAAGCATATCATAATCAATGATAGTATCTCCATAGAGTTTCAATTTAGAAGTAATTCTGAACATCGTAAAATTATATTCAGAAACAGGCTTAAAGTCTTGGAGCCTCAGATGAGCTCAATCATATCGTGTTTGTGGAAGAGTGACCAACTTTAAGTTGTCATATCTTTTCTTTAAGCCATTCCACAAAACAAGTGGATCTTTGACTGTGAGATATTCTATCTTCAACCCTTCATCGAGGTGATGGCGCAAGAAAATCAAGGCCTTTGCACAGTCTTGGGTAGATGCTTTATTTTTGTCTTTAATGGCATCTCTAAGACCCATTGCATCTAAATGGATTTCAGCATCCAACACCCATGTCATATAGTTCTTGCCAGAAATTTTAAGGGCAACGAACTTTCTTTTCATAATATCAGTCATAATTAAAGGAGGAGAAAAGTTATACCTTAGTCTTCTCAAAAAGCTTCTTGAGACGGTAGAGTCTCGTGCTGATAACGTGTTATAAAATATAACTCAAAGTAACAATATGGAACAAGGAAAAACAAGCTAAGAGATATAGAGAGAAAGAGAAGAGAGATTCTTATTTCTTCTTCAATTGTGTGTATTTTTCTATCTATTACAAGGCCTTTATATATGCATGAAAAGTGAAGAAAATATGTCATTGAATATGTCATTAAACATAGAAAATATGTCATTGAATATGTCATTAAGCATTTGAGATGAAGATCACGGAGGAAGAGTAGACATCCACCATAATTTGATATTTCTTATAACAACTTTATACATGTCATTAGTTTTTACTTAAATGATTTCTCTATTTCTTTAGTTTGGGGCCTATATATAAAATCTTCCGGACTGTCGGTTGTCGATCATGCAGTGTCCAGATTAACGTTGTATCCTCTCCCAAATGCACTTTCAATGTCTATGTCATTATTATCGGCATGTAGAATGTGAATATAATAACGTAATGTGAATATAGTAACGTGAAATGATTGATCTTTCTCAAAGTCCGGACTAAATCTAAGTAGGTTTGGAATTCTAAGTATGTTTAAGTTATTAATTAGGTCATTTTAAATTAATAATTTACAAAATTCAATAAATTTCTTAAAAAAAAGTTAAAGTTGAACTAAAGCTACTAAATTCGATTGGATCAAAATCTAAAGTCCAACTTGACATTAAAAGATTTAAAGAAGGGAACATAAACCAAGTATATATTATTGGGGACTATAACCCCTATTCCTTTTCTCTTTTTTACCGTACAAAACATTGTTAGACAAGTAGTCAAGAAATCAAAAAATTTGTGACTAAGAACACCTGTGAGTAGAACATCCATTACTCAAGCCAGAAAGCAATAGAAGAGCAAGTTCTTCTTCAAAGAGATTAAACCTCAGTCCTCCATCTTCAACTTCCTGGATCTCTTCAACCATATAGTTCGGTATAATCACACTCCGGCAAACCGGGCAATTACTGTTTTGTCCCTTGCCGTGCATCAGCCATTTATCCAAACAATTTTCATGGAATATATGACTGCAACTTTTAATCTTCCTTCCTTTATCTCCGTGCTCGAATTCCAGTAAGCAAATCGCACAATCAAGTGGCTCTTTTGCTCTTCTATTATACACAAATTTAGAGCATTTCTTGTCTATCATCATTTCCTTGTGCTTGTTTTTTTCGAGCCAACGTACATATGAACTAAATAAAATAATAAACACCAGCAGTAGACATCTCAAAATTTGAGGAAGCCATGAAGAGAAGAAAATGTTTATCAGCTCGTGAAAATGATGGAAAAGTTTAGCGAGAGTCGGCATAATAACAGAAAAAGGAACTACGACTATATGGTAACAAGTATCAAGGTTGTCAATATATATACTACAACTTGAATGGCAAAAGCATATACTCCTCCCGTGAACTCATTTGACTGGGCACGAAGTTTAAAAAAAGAGAGAAGATTTTTGAACGTGTGGTATAAAATGAGACACATATATTTTGTGTGGCTATAAATTATTCCATAAAGATAAATTGTTTCCAAATAGGGAAAGTGGTCATTCTTTTTTGTACAGACTAAAAAAAAAAATAGGTTCACATAAATTGAAACGGATATAATATTTAATTGACTAGCTGTAGAAATATTTGGGATGACTTTGACGACCAAGTAAACTATAAATATATTTTTGTGGAATACAGGATATAAGATGAATTGAAAGTAGAATAACAATTACCTTTGTGTTCACATGCACTTTATATGATTACTATTT